CTCTCTCTCTCTCTCTCTCTCTCTCTCTCTCTCTCTCTCTCTCTAGTGCAGTGCTGCAACTTGGCATGCCATCAGCTCTCCATCCCACCAGACACTTATCCCAGCTGTTCATTAATGAAGATTTGGGCAACTCCCAGGCTTTTCTTATCAAGCTTTAAGGATGAACTGAAACCCACGTAAAGAGTAAGATATACTGTCTTATTGTAAAACACCAAAGGGAGAATCAGATCTTTGGACCAGTGCATAAAACAAAATTGTTTATGCACATAAACATGAATATGAACCACAAAAGCCATCATGAATTATTATGCAACACGTAATACTGCCAATAGTTAACGATGACAGCTGACAAGACCTGAAGAACAACAGTGGAAGTGATAAATCCAAATGCATGTTCACCAAGCCGAGGGTGCCTGATAATTACAACTTCCTTGAATGCTTGTTTATTCTGGTCTGTATTAAAAAAAAAGAACCAGTGATATATATACTTAGGTTTGAAAAATTGAACAAGTAGAAATTACTTACCAGGTGAGACAGCAGAACTAATTTGCTTAGAGGCATTGTAGATGTGACGAACAAATGGCATCCGCTTGATAAACCATTCGCCAAGACTAAGGACAGATGCACCGAGCCATGATGACATGAACACTCCAACCAAGAAAATGAAGGTTATGGAAGTTACAAAACCAAGTCCTGGGAAGGCAAGGATTCAGCATTTAGAAAACAAAACATTGACAGGAAGGGGGACAAATTAAAAGAATCTATGGCAAAGGCTCTTCTTCAAATTTAGCTATCTTACACCTGTGTTTGCTCCACAATAGTGAAAAACCCCAAGTGCTTCCAAAATGTTCCACCCAAAGCATAACAAAGGACAAAGCAAGAAAAATTTACATGATACAATTGTGCATGCACATTGTTGAGTACGCTCCAAGAATTGTGCATGTGTAGCGCATGCTCCAAGACATGTGGATGAACACACACGTAGATACTTAAATAACATATGAAGTTACATAAAAATGAAGACGTGATTGTATCACAAACAAGAAATGAAAACGAATTGCTCAACCTCACTAAATAAGACAAGTGACCCAGTTGATTGACCGAAAACCGTGGCAAGCTACTTGCAAAACAGAACATCACCCACTTCTTCCTGGATGTACTAATTTCAGAGTACACGTCTGCAAGCTTCTATACATATGATCCATCAGACCCAGAAAGATGGCTCGAGCAATCAAAAGATGAAACCCTCAGTCATTGGACTTTCCAATGAAAATTTGTGATGCCCAATCATCATAGGAACCTAAAGGTTGCTACTTGCTAGAGTAATTGAAATTTTACAACAGTCTTTGGATTTTCAAATGAAAGAAGTGTATTATGTCAAATGTGAACTGCAAGGTTAGCCAGACTGGTTTTGCAGCTTAAGAATGAGAAGAAAAACGACAGGACTTTAAAATGGAAGGTCCAAAGAAGCATTAATGGTTCCAGTATTATATTATCAAAGAATATGTTCGATAAGAGTGAAACAATCTCAGCTTCAAACAGCATCCAGGAAAAATCAACAACCATCTGAGAACATGTACTTCCAAACAGAAACCAGTAATGGAAAACTCAGCTACAAAGATCATTTAAATAAATATTTCATTACAATAAATGTACAGCATCTGAATTGTCACTTGAATCACATAGAATATTTTGAAAAAAAAATAATAATGTGCATACCAAATAAGTTTATCCCAAGTTGAGCATAGATCGGAGAAAAAAATCCATCAACAAAATGAATAAACCACCAGGTGATATAAAAGGTGATAGCAATTGGAAAGAGGATCACACTGCAAATGCAGAAAAAGTGATCGGTCACTAGTTAATAAGATCAAAACTAAAAGCATATGTAAGTTCATGCTGGATATAGATGAAACAATCTTACCATCCTGTCATGAACTTTTTCGAAGCCCAACTGTGGATGACTATATAAAACGCCTGCACTTGAAGAAATGGATTAGTAAAACCATTTCTTAGGAAAAGCTGCAATGATAAGCATCAAGTCTACAGACATCGTCAGAATACTTGATAAGGATTTCAAAACGAGAGCAGTTAGCACATAAAGAAGAACCACATAACCTTTTTCCAGTAGTTAATGCAGTGGCAAACATCACGGGCTCTGTAATGAAAACTTAAATCGAATGTGGGTATGGTGTTAAGACAGAAACTATTTGCCACAGTGAGATAGCAACGGGAAACAATGGCAAGGGCTTTAAAGTTCTCCATTTGAGCATTCCGCTCAACTAATAAAACTGACGTACAAGGCACGAAATAATTAGAGAAGTTCAGTATATGCTGCAGCTAAAATTCATATATTTTAGCAAATGATCTCTACCATCAACATATTTCCTCGCAGATAAACGGCCAAGGCACGTCTAACACGATTCGATGTCATTGATCTGAACATTGTTAACCTCAGATAACAGGAAAAAAAAAAAAGGATTTTTTTTCTTTGATGCCAATTCCTTACACCAAATTTGCGAGAAGATACGATTATATGTTCCAATTTCAAGCCTAATTAGGTCAAAAGAATAGCATCCTTCCGCGGCTCATAAACAAACCCTAAAAACAAGAACTAAAACCAGACTCAAGTCCATGAACATCCATATCACAGAGGCGACAATGATCGCCGAATACCACAAAACCAAAAGGAAATGAGCGGAAACAATGTAAAACGAAATCGTAAAAGGAATGCATCAAACCGAATAGAAGATCGACAAGAACGAAGAGATCGGTGGAGGTGGGCCACCTCTCTACCGGTGTGGGAGTGGCGGTGGTGGTGGTGGTGGTGGTGGTGGTTAGGGCAAGCGGAGGAGGACGAAGCCCTGGAATCGGAGTCGTGGTCCGCGACGGGGATGAGCAGCTCACGATCCCTCTCCCTATTTCCCATTGGACTCGACGACTTCTCGTCGCCCATCATTGCCTCGCCTCGATCTCTCTTCCTCCCTCGCTCTTCCAGACGCTCAACCGAAGCGCTGAAGCAAACCCAAACGGAAGGGAAATGAAATGGTAGAAGACTTTACACACCCTCCAATAATACCCAAACCTACACCCTCATCAACGCAAAATGTGGCGACAATCAAGGGCTGTTGACGTCACTCACGGCTGACCAAATCGATCGAATGGACGGTTAAGATCAATTGGGTGAATCGGTGGGCCTGTGGTGGGTGGAGAACATGAAGGTTTCTCCACATAATGTGCTAAAGCAATTGCCGCGTCGTATGAACCGTTAGATCTGGACGGGGTCTCTTAATCTGGACGGTTGGACGGTCGAGATGGAGATGGGAACAAGGAGCATCATCTGATGACAAAATATTGATTTTTGGGAATATTCTCACTAAGAGTTACAAAAGTGAGACAGAAAATAATATCTATTTAATTATATTTTTATCATATACAATGTATGATTAAATCTTATCGTTTTCCTATCATAATCAACCTATACTATAATAAAAAAAATTGTAAGTCGTAATCGGAACGATTACATGGATGATTTATCATCATTTAAAATCATATCATAAGATATTCTATCATTTACCCACGATATTGGATCGACACGTGGATAGTTAGTCTTGGTATTCAAGAGGCTCAATCCTTATAAGTCAATATATTTATCTTTTTTCACACTTAAGATATCATAATTAGTATCGATACTCCTTTTCTACTTACCCTTTTATATATTTTTTAAGCTATTATAAACCCTTATATCATATATATATATATATATATATATATATATATATATATATATATTGAATAATAATTTTTTTACTCAAGTCTAATATTTTATCACGACTCAATTTAAAGAGATAATTGATAATTGAACTCTGAATCATCGATACAATAAACTTAAGATTAAGTTAACATTAGTAAATCAGTAAAATTTTATAAATCAATCCAAATGTTTCATCCAAATGGATTGGATTGTAAGAATTAAGTAAAAGTTATGCGAATAGAATATAAACGATAAAAGAATAGTATAATCATAATGATTGGTCATAGGCGATACCACAATGTCACCGAGCAGAGAAGAAACCTGCCTGCTGCAAATGCTGTTCGATTTAAGAGAAATTAATGTTGAGGGATGATTACCATTTTTCAGCATGAATAAACCAGAAGTAGGATGATCACATAGCTTCTCTGCACATGATAAGATGGTGTACAATGATACCAAGAAACCTACAATAGTGACGTCCACCCAAAGTAATACGGATGTGAGAATCCAAGCGGGTCAATCCCCCTTTATGCGTTTTTTTGGGGACCGATAAATCTTGGAATCCGATCACGGAATGCTGTCGCCTGTTCGATCGTTTACGTAACGTTGCTTTGTACGAGGCAGATGCGAAGGGTAGAGAGAGAAGGTGACAGTTTGAGTCAGCATGACATCAAGACCTCGGATGATTTAGTTGGGTAACGATCCTCGGCGAGAGACATCGAGGGCAACTGCGTACAAGGAAAGCGCGCACAGCCGACACCAACAGAGGCTACGGAGGTCTCCTCTTCCTCATCGGAGCTTTTGGTTATGGATGCATGGAAGCCCGAGGAGGACCGCGGAGGTGACCGCGAGCTGAAACCCACCCCACCTTTGGCTTCTTCTTCGTCTTCCTGTTCGAAGAGAAGGTCGGAACTCGTCGTTCCCAGCTGAGAAGTGCTGAGTTTGTGTGTTTTGAACCAAGTAGAGCTTCTTGTACAGCCAGCTGCCGGTGCAGAAACGAGTGGTGTCGGTTACCGTCGGCTCGAAGCCCCTACACGCCGGTGAGGCGTTCCCGCCGTCGGATTCATGGTCATGGAGGAAGTACGGGCAGAAGCCCATCAAAGGCTCCCCTTATCCCAGGTGCGTACTTGGCTTCCGCGTGTGTGTGAGAGAGAGCTCTGGTTTCTTGTACGTTCGTGGCCATGCAGGAGTTACTACAGGTGCAGTAGCTGCAAGGGTTGCCCGGCGAGGAAGCAGGTGGAGTGCAGCCGCCTGGACCCCACCAAGCTCATCGTCACCTACTCCTTCGACCACAACCACCTCTGTCCCCTCCCCAGGAACGGCAGCCACCACCAGAACCGCCTACCTCCTCCGGCGCCGCCCCCCATAGAGGAGCCAGCGCCGCCAGCTCAGTCAGGCTTCAGACCGCTCGAGTCCACGCCCGAGCAGGAGGCGAAGTACCCCGTCGTGATCGGGAAGAACGAGCCGCTGCAGCTGGTCGACGGCGGCCGCCTCCCATGGTTCTCCGACGTGGCTTCTGCTTCCACTACCTCGGCTGGCTCCGACGAGCTGCTCTACGGCTCCCTCCATTTCGGTAGCGACGCGGCCACGGGATCGATGGCGGGGGAGAGGGAGGCTGGGCTGGGGGAGGAGTCGCTGTTCGCGGGGCTGGGGGAGCTGCCGGAGTACTCAGTGGTGCTCCGCTGGGGACTGACGTCGGGGCACACCGGGTGATGGACGGCGTACGGCAGTTGATGCTTTTACTTTTACTTTGGTTGACTATTCCGACACGATCTTCACAAATCAGATTTCTAAGTTATCCACAAATAACAAAGCAAATGAAAGCCCAGAAATATTCTTTTTTTTTTTTTTTTTTTTGGCGTTAGCGAATTGATATTTGTAGGAACAACAAAGGAATAAGTATATTTATATATACAAATAAATGATTGTTAACACACAGAAACCATTCACTAGTGAGTCAATCCGATTGATTCACTGTTGAAAATATAGGTCATTCGCGATGACTCCTCCTTGCTAACACAAAGAGTTAGCACAACGATCCTGTGTGGGAGTTCATCAAAAAAGGTGATTCGTTGGGAGCGATCTAACCCTCATATGGTATAGTCAGGCTGGAGAGCTAAGTCATCCTTATTGTTGGGCTGCCCCTTGGGTACATCTCCGGATAGTATCGAGGGTCTTGCATAATAGGTTTATGTTGGGGTGTCTCGGCTCGACCTCTCCGATGCTTAAGTCAGAGAGACAGAGATGGAGATTAATAATGTAAATGAGAGAGTTAAGAGCTCTTGCCCGCTTGCCCCAGCTTGGTTCGGAGCTTGCCTTTTATAGTTGGACATTAAGCGACCTAGACGTGCGTTTGCCAAGGCCCCCCATACCTTGCACAATGGAGGCATCAATGAGGGCGACTTGCTAGTGTATGCCCTTTGGTGCCCAGGGCAATCTGTTAGGGGGATGCTTCTGGGCTGACTTCCTTGCCGCTTTGGGTTAGGTAGGGAGTGGTCCCTTCATCGACCGTTGGAAATGGAAAACTAGTGAAGGCAGAGTATGCCATCAGTCATTAATGCGAAGGCATGACTTCTGTTGATGTATTAATCAGGAGTGGGACATGTGGGCCTATTCTTGAAAGTTGGGGTAGGTGACGTGACCTCTTGTTGGTGGCGGCCGTAGGGAGGTGGTTCTTGGGCTTTTTCTTAGGTGTTGCTTATATAACGAGGGGAGCTGGGGAGTACTAGGATTATCCCTATTATTCATCCACCTAGAAAGCCATTGTTCAAAGCTTCAAATGGAGGTCTTGAAGGATATTGCTTTTCCTGTGTTCCTATATGGTGATGTCATCATTGTTTAGCTTTGGGTTCGTTGTTGGCACCATGGTGGTTTGTGCGAGGCCTATTTGGGGTGGGTTGTACTTTACTAGGGTGACATTTGATTAGACGAGTGTTGACCGAAGGGACCTCTCTCTCTTTTCCTCCGTCTCTATCTTCATTCTTCCCCTTCGGTATATGAGTTCATTCTCTCTCATTTTTCGACATTTCCCTTCTATTTTAAGAGGTTTCCTTCTCCAATTTTACCTCCCCCTTCTGCACTAGAAGTTGGGTGTTCATTTAGGCATGTTTGTGTAACATCCCTCATTTTTTAAAATTTTATAAGGGCCTATTTGTAATATAGAGACCTAAATGTAAATATTAAAAATATAATATAATTTATAAAAGATTTATATTAGGTTTAAAAAAAAATGATGGACATGTGTCACTAGCTAACCTAATGGTGCCACCTAAGTTTGTTTTGTGGATAACACCTAAGCCCCCTTCATGCATGCTTACCATATTGCAATTCTTATATTAGCTAAATCTAATGCATTAGAGGAGAAATTAAAAGAGAAAAACTTAAGAGTTGTAGCCAACGTGGGTTTGAGAGGAGAAAGGAAGAGGAATTGAAGTAGGAGAAGAAGCTTTGCTTTGCTTGAGGTTTTGCATCAATTCCTCATATTTGAGAATCAAACTTTTTTAAGATAAGTATTCTAACTCTTTCCTACAGAAATTTTGATCTTTAATTTCATCTTAATTCTGAAAATTTTGGAAGATTTTGATTTCATACTTGATATTTCTATCGTTTGGGGATAAAACTGTGAGTCTGAATTTTTTTTTTAGATTTGACCCTTCTATAATGTTCTAGTCATAACATTCTTCATAAATTCTTGATTTTGGAAAAGTTAGATTTTTTCAAAAATAAACTCATAGCTCTTCTTTTGATATCAAGATTGATAAATTTGGAGTCTATTTACCTACCGAAACTATTATTTCAATTGACCCTATGAAATTTGTAAAACAGAGACTATCGATTTTGACTTTTCAGTACTCTCTTGCTTATAATTCTATGTTGAAAACTCTGATTTATTTGAAACATGATTTATTAAAAATTAGACTCATAGACCTTTTGTGTATATCTAATTTAAAAGATTTGGAGTATAAATGCCTATTGAATCATCTGTTCTAATCAATTTTATGAATTCTACAAAACAAAGATAATATTCTCTGACCTTTGGTTACTAAATTATTTGTAACTTCTTATTGGAAACTCCTATTAATACAAAACATAATTTATCTAAAACTAGATTAATACATCTTTTGAATGAGCCTATTTTATACAAATTAGAGTATAATTTGTTATTCAAATAATTCATGCAATATGCCTCTCAAATTCTATTAGAATCGAGCTTTGGTCGATTTTGCTTTCAATCTCTTTGGAAATTGATTTCAACTAAAATCTTTACCTTTACATTATTGCTTCAAATTTCTATATACTCTTTTCCTACAAGTGTTTGCATACCTAAATCTGTTAGGTAAACTTTATATTTGTATCGTAATGTTTCGTATAGGCACATGCATTTCGTTGTTCCATATATGTTTTCGATATGTGCCAACTTTATTGTTCACAATACCCTTTTGTACTCTGGTGTTTGTAAGATTATTTGAACCTTTGCTAGAAATAGTAAAGGGATTATTTGGACCTTTGTCAAAAATGGTAAAGGGATTATCTAGACCTTTGCCAAAAATGGTAAAGGGTATATACTTAGAGCCTGCGATACTTTGTCAGCCCTCTCTGGCTTCATCTGAACGTGGATGGATGACACTCCCAAATGTGGGAGATTATATTTGGTATCCCACTTCACCTTTTATTTGTTTGATATGATATCCAAAGCTTTGGTTATATTCTTCTATATGTGCTTTGGATAAGAATGAAATGTATGCAACTTCAAATGCAACATTTGAGCTTCTGTTTCATATTTGTTCTTTGATATGTTTCAAAATATTTCATTTGTTATTGATATTTTTCGAAAAACTTCATATGTCATTGATATACTCCGAAATGCTTCATATATCATTGATATGTTCCGAAGCATTTTTTTTGCCATTGATATGTTCCGAAATGTTTCATCTGTCATTGATATACTCTAATTAGCCCTTACTCCATTGTTATAAATAAAACATGTTTCGAACAATATGACATTGTAATTCTAGATACGTCGAGTAGCTATCTTTGAACTCTTGTATCTCTGTCTTGTATTTTGAAACCTTATTTGTTTGAAACTGTCCTCTTTGTCATGGATATGTTAGTCACTTATTGAGCTTTATATGCTCACTCTATTGCTATATAATTTTTTTAAGATAACGTGTTGCTTGCTAAAATGTTTAAATTGGGCTGAGGCAGTAGAAGGCTAGAAGATTTTTGGGACAAATCTTTTGTAGTTTAAAGATGGTTGATCTATAAGTACATTTTATATATAATGAAATATTAATGACAAATCTAGATTGATGTATCTTGTAAATGTTTGAAAAGTATCTCTCATGTTAGGATTTTGAGAATGTTAAAGTTAAAATTGTGTAATGATATAAACATGTAGTACATGTTGGTTTTGTGATTGTATAGAATACCACACTTGTGGAATTATAGATGTGAATGACTTATGTTTTCTCAAGGTCCTCAAATGTGTGTTTGGATCTTGGAATTAGATTGTTGATCTGAATTATAATATTATCGATTTTAAGATAGGTTCACGCTTCCTGAACGGAAAAATTCGAGGGGCATGATAGCCTGGGTGGGAGTGTAGTTCTACAATAGTAGGTGTTAGCTTGACCGCGTGAGAGGGAGGATTGGTATCAGTCCGTCATAGTGGGTCTTGATTCAACCGCCATGGGTAGGAGTATCGATATCAGTCCACTGGGGTGGCTCCACCGTAGCGGGTCTTGATTCAACCATCATGGGTGGGAGTATCGGTATCATTCTATTAGAGGAGGATTTGATTCAACCATCATGGGTAGGAGGATCGGTATTAGTCTGTCGGAGTGGCTCTCATTGTAATGAGTCTTGATTCGACCATCGTGGGCGAGAGTCTCGATATCAGTTAGTCGAAGTAGCTTCTACCATAATAGGTCTTGATTTGACCACCATAGTGGGAGTATTGCTATCAGTCCATTAGAGTGGCTTCCGTTATAATGGGTCTTGATTAGATTGTCGTGGGCGGGAGTATTGGTGTCAATCCGTCGAAGCGACTTTCGCATAGCAAGTCTTGATTTGACCGTCGTGGGTGGGAGGATGGACCCACTATGATGGGTTTAGTAGTTACAATTGTCATGTAAGCCAATCACGTGAGTAATGACATGTGTGACACATTACACAATCTTTTTCGTTATTATTATTATGATATTTCTATACTTTATATTGGATGATAAATATATTGTGATGTCATTGGATCTATGCAATGAGAATTGGATCAAAATGAGATCATGATAATGTGACTAATTTACCTATAAATACATACCCTAAACATTTCTGGTCATATGTTACTCGAGAGGGACATCGAGATAGCCGGGCAGATCGATGTGCTGTATATCTATCATTATAATGGAGGCAGTTGGTCTCTGCTAGTCATATGTGTCCTACAAGCCAATCATGTGAGTGATAGCCACGTGTGACTTGACATGCAATCTTTTTGCTTATTATACTTTGACATTTATCACTTTATATTGCTTGTTACATATATATATACATATATATATATATATATATACATATATATATATATATACAC